ATATATATATATATATATATACACATATATATATATATGTATGTATGTTTGTATTTATATATATGTAAACTTTAAAACTAACTCTTCATTTTCTTGGTATTGGAAACAATTTCTTGGTATTGCACGCGCTCTCTGCTCTCGCTAACAAAGCATTTAAAGTCATTGTTAGATGTTTAATTGTGTGATGGATTGGACAAGCCTTGACTGGGCTCATTTATTTAAAAACGGGCTGTCAGCTGTGATAAAACTTCCCGGTGTTATGACGCCATTTTTGATTCTGTCGCTCTAGTGTCCTGAATGCAGCTGTGACTTCAGCTGTTCATTCATACAGATATGTATTCAAGCAGATGTTTTAATCTGCTGAATAAATAAAACATTTCAAGTCTCTCACCTGTAAGCAAATGCTGTCAGTCCCAAACAGTAACTGTGAATGCAGCCATAATGTGCATTTCTATTGATTGTATTGTATCACTGCCCTGTAATTCTCTCCTTCTTTCTTTCTTTCTTTCTTTCTTTCTTTCTTTCTTGTTATTATTATTTCTTTCTTGCTTCCTTGCTTTCTTTTTATTTCTTTCTTTCTTTTTTCTTTTTTCTTAATTATTTATTGTTATTATTTTTCTTTTTCGCTCTTTTCTCGTTATTATTATTTATTTATTGTTATTTTCTTTCTTTCATTTTTATTTTTTATTAATTATTTATTATTATTTCTCTTTTTCTCTCTTGTTATTATTTTCTTTATTTATTGTTATTATTTTCTTTCTTTCTTAGTTGTTGTTATTATTTATTTTTGTAAAGTATTAATTATGAGACAACGTTTGAAAAAAATTATAAAAGATTAATAGCAGAAGTTACTGTTATTATTTATTGATAGTTTAACTAAAGAATTAATCAACTGATCAGAAAATAATAAATCGAATAAACATTTTTAATAATGTGTGTTTAAAAGAATGCAAAATACAAGTAAAAATTTCATGTGTGGTCTCATATTTTGGACCCCTGTATACAAGCTTGTCTCTATATGCTTAATGACTTTAAGATTAGAGATAAATAATTACACACTAATAATACTTGAGCACCAAAGACATACTGAAATTCCATTTCTTTTTTACAGAAAAGTGTAATGAAGTCAAACATGTGTTTACCACACTGTCACAAGACTACTCCTCTCCCTCTAGATATAATAATCGGATAAAATTAGATTATACAAAGAGGCCTACACAGTTTGCAGGAATGCATGCCCACTAGGTGCCCTCTCCTCAAATGCACTTTCCAACATCCAAGGCGAGTCGGATTGACTGTGAAACAAGCGTGGAAAATATCCCAGAGGGGAATGTGGCATCCATCAAAATGGATTCCATGGTAAGACAAAAGAAAGTTTACTTTACAGCACTTCGGAATGCCATAATTCTCTCTGTCACAGCGTGTTAAAACACATTGTGTCCTGCAAAAGCAAACAAAAACTGTGTAATTTAAAATGACTAGGTTAGATTTAAATTAATACCTGCATGCTTGGCAGCAGCTGTTTAAAGATGTTAAAACAAATATAATGGCAATAAATACTTGTAAGTGAAAGGAAAGACGCTGCTAAGAAGCAGTAACCTTCACATACTGTAACTACAATATACTTGCAAAATTAATAAACAAAAAACAAAACAAAAAAATGGCCTAAACATACTTAAATGACACTAAACTGAACAGTAGACACTTATAGAAGAAGTCCACACCTAACAGCCACCTGGTTTCTTTCCATTGTAATTAGCTCTGGCAAGCTCAGACACAGGCCTCGCACATCAGTAGCAAAGGGTTCATTTCAATTTCCACATGACCTATTTCTGGATTAGTAACACAAGGCATGGGAAGATGGGCTTTAACATCTGGGATTGGTCTGGAGATAATAACATTCATCCGGGACTTTCCCCCAGAAGATGAGCAAGTGCACAGCAACAGACCTGCCAGAACTCACAGGCTGCTGCTCTGGAAATAGCGGGGAGCCTCTGGATCATCATTAGATGTTTTAAGTGTGGACATTAAATGGATCACAACAAGTTTACAAATGTGAGCTCAGCTTTCTGAGGGAAAATAAAAGTAGTACCTGGACCGATGGTGGTCCCTCTCCATCTCCACTTGCTCCGTAATCACCTGATCCCTGTAGATTCTGAAGGAGAACGGAAAACTACATTAATTCCCTGAGTGTTAAAAATGAGAGACTCTTTTCATCACACTGTTATCTAGATGACTGGAGGGCATGTAATACGTCACGCGTCACAGTGATGGGCATTAAAGCTTAATCCTGTGGAAAACCTAACTGGAGGCGACACATTCTTTTCTAGAAATGAATGGAAGTGAATTCCAAGCACTATCAGTCGACAAACACTCCAGGTACATTTCATTAAAAACATACTAAAATATCAAAAATGTTCAAACTAATTTATTTCTGCATTAGAGGCCTCCCACAACAACATATAAATGGTGAAATAATTTTTTCACAGTTTTTTTTTTCTAAATTTGGGTCTTTCAGGGTTAAAAGGAAAATTTACTCATCCTTATGTCGTTCCGAACCCATGTTATTTTCATTCTTACATGAAATACAAATCATATTTATTTATATAGCGCTTTATACAATACAGTTGTTTTTTTCAAAGCAGCTTTACATTAATAATACAGGAAAATAATTGTTAATGTTGTAAAATTCATCAATTACGAAACTAACTCAATTTAGGTTAAGACTTAAGTGTTGTTTTAATTTAGTTCAATATCTGTGTGCAAAGCTCATCAATTATGAAACTGTTCCATTCAACTATCATTTTTTGTGATGCTTTTATGATATTTTTGTCCTTTTTGAAACTATAAATAAGCTTTTTTTTATTTTTAACTATAAATAAACTATTTTCCAGCTGTTGTGTGGAAAAGATCTCAGACATTTAGTCTGCACGCCTTTCTTGTTTCAAGGAAGAACAAATAATAAGGGGTTGGAAAAAGACATCGGATGAGTAAATAATGACAACATTTTCATTTTGGGGTGAACTATTCCTTTAAGGTTCAGGTTTAATGTAAATTCGGCTCATTTGGTAGGACCAAAGTAGGACAATGGTTCAGTTCCCAGGAAACAAACTAATAAAATATATATATATACCATAAAATGCACTATAAGTTGCTTTAGATTCAAGCTTCAGCCAAATGCATAAATATAAATGTAAAATGATGCCGCAACAATTCTGAGATTAGTCACCTGGGGAAGAGAGTCTAAATCTGAACATTTACACCAGGCAAGCTATTCCTTTCACACTGGTCTCCTTTATAAAAGACTACACAATAACTGACTATAGCACACGCCTTCAAATCTTTCCTTTTATAAAAAACAATCCACTTGTTTGAGAATACAGGCTAGACCGTGATTTATGCAACTGATCTCCCAGAGGACAATTTCAGTACTTTTCACCTCATTGCATTAGCCAATCTTTGGATTAATCACCCATTTTAGAACCGCTTAACATTCAAGAGTGTGTGTAGCTGTGATGTGAAGCATTTATGTAGCTATTTCTCTTTTCACAATTAGTTCAAAGGCAAAGCTGCTGAGACGCTGAAGCTGAGACATAATTAAGGCATGACACATGAGTGAAAATGATTATTTCACTTAGGGCATTTTTAGACATGTATATAATTTGCTTGGTTCCAAAAAAAGGACTTAAACTGTTACAATGTTGCATTTTATTCTTGATTCAGTTTGAGCATTTCAAATTATATAGTTAAGCAATATCACACAAGGCCTGAATATCATCACAAATGTAAATGTCATATTGCTCTTTGAACTGTTTTATAAAATCAAAAGGTTAAGTTATGTTTTGACTGAGTTATGTTTTATTTTCTGTTTTTGCTTTTCTTTGTCAATGAAAACTCCCAAATGAAATCATGTTTTGAACAAATCAGTTTAATGAATGATTCAGTGACTGAAGGAATCAGATGTTTAAAGGAATCGTTTGAATGACTCGACTCATTAAGACAAAGACTTGCCACCACCTACAGGTGGTTTTAGTTTCCTATTTAAATACTGAAATTTACATGTTTAAAAATGAATTTGGTTTAAGGGGCCTAATAATATTACAGAATAGTGAAAGCATTCATTTCTGTCACTGCTGTGTATTAACCACTGCACAGAATATGAAAAATATAAAACGTTCAGGAGTCAGTTGTCTGTGACAGGCCTAACCAGCCAAGGTACCAATACAAAAACACTCAGCAAAATATCTAATTATCATTATCAATAAACCCCCAGAAAATATTGAGATATATTGGAATCCAACAATGATTGGAGTGTTCACATATGCCTAAACGATCCAAACTAAACACAAAATAAATGCTCCAAAAAAGCCTTTAAAAGTCCTTAGACACTCTTATTTGAACACTTATGGGCTTGAAGTCTTACCGCATCAAAGTCATCCTCATCTTCTTCACAGTGTCGTTCAGCTGCCCCAGGGTCTTTCAACATCCTTATATCGCCGATAACACCCTAGAACAAACACACGCACAGGTTACTGAGCTTATTTTGATGGCCATGGCAGGTGTGGTGACTGTAGGGCAGCTGCTCATTAGAAACTGAATCCACTGCACTTTTTTCATGCCATTGCCTTCCACGGCAAAAACGCTGGCAGTCAGATAACAATGTGTGCCTGATATCTTAGTTTTAAAACACATGGCTATCTGTCTCCATGTAAGATTTCCCTTTCATGGTTTGCAGCACAGATGCTGATAACATTCAATACCAGCAACACATTTCTATGTTCAATGGCTAATATAAATGTCTCATTAAAGGGGTAGTTCATCATAAAAATTCAGCCATTGTTTAATCACTCTCATATTGCTGCAATACTATATGACTTGCTTTAGTCTGTGGAAGGCAAAAGTACAGATGTTTAGCAGAATGTTGATGCTGCTCTTTTCCATGCAATAAAATGAATGCGGCCCAAGAGCCGCCAAGCTCCAGAAGGATAAGAAGCACAATAAAATCAGTCCTATAGTAGAACTATTTCTGCTCTATTTCAAGTCTTCTGAAGCCATATGATAACTCTGAGGAGTAGAAGACCAACATTTAAGCTATTATTGGGTGGCAAATTTCAAAATGCATCACATGAATGAGATTTGAAAGCAACTTTAAAAGAAGATTTTCAGTGAATAATGAGTGTTTCTCACACGAAGCTATCAAAATGTGCAATATAGTCTATGGACTACTGTTAGGGTACTTTGGTGTGACATCTGATTAACTATTCACTATCATAAGGAACAGCATGAACTTCCAAATATGTTCTTTTGTGGCCTACAAAGAAAGAAATTCATACAGGTAGAATTTCTAATTAATAGAATTTCATTTTTGGGTAAACTATCGCTTTAAGTTGATCTCCATTCAAGATCCCTTTGGGGCAATAGGAATTGTGGGTAAGTTGCTGGTAAGATCTGACAGGACTTCCCCTCTCATGTCTCAAGAGCTAAGGTCAAAGGTTTAGTAGCAGAATCCAGTGAAGGAAGCTTTATGATGTCTTAATTGCCCTTTTGTTTCACGCTGTGACCTGCCAAGACCCTATTACAGCCCCAACGCGGGGTCAGATTCACAGACCTGATCGCCCCACAGTTCTGCAGATAAGCACATGGTCTTAATGAGAGGGATGAAACAGCAATCATATCCTGCTTAATCAGGTCTGTAATTATGATGGCCATCTCCTTATGGTGGAGTTCCCACAGGAAATGGAAGCCACATGAAACAAGGAGCCATACTGAAGCGAACAAGATCCATCTGCTTTTGAGTGGCCATTATGAGCTCTGGGAAATGTGAGGCATTTCTGCTGCCTCAGTTGCCTCACTATGGTTATTGAACATGCTTGAAAGCACTAGCATAACTGGTGGAAACAAGGCAGGGCATTCAATCACATCACTTCACAGATCAGTTAGGCTGCTTTAGTAGTACAGCAGCTGGTGAAGAATCTGTTGGCCTATAAAAGCTGTTCTTGTTAATTATTTTCGTATATACTGTAAATTGTATATATATTTTAAATGATATTTTGTTTTTCAAGTTCATAGTGGCAACAAATTATTTATGAAGTTTATATATTATTTATATATTTATGATTTTTTTTTTAAATAAATGTAATATAATTAATTACATATTTTATTTATTTAATTAATTATTCCTGGATGATTTTCGTTTAATATTAAGTTGTAATGTTTTTGATAAAAACTCAAGATAACTTCATGTGACAAAAAGATAACTGCCTTTCCTGACAAAAAAGATAAAATACCTTAAAATCTTAAGGTTTTTGTTTGTTTGTTTGTTTGTTTGTTTTTTAAATATAATGCCTCTAAATATCAAACTTAATATTAAACAATTCATCAAGTAAGGAAGAAATAAATAAGTAGGCAATAAATTACATTTTAAAATAAATATATAAAATAATATAAGATTTATAAAATAAATAATATAATTTGATATTGATATAAATACTATACAGATATAAATTGATATAAATATATGATAACTCTGAGGAGTAGAAGACCAACATTTAAGCTATTATTGGGTGGCAAATTTCAAAATGCATCACATGAATGAGATTTGAAAGCAACTTTAAAAGAAGATTTTCAGTGAATAATGAGTGTTTCTCACACGAAGCTATCAAAATGTGCAATATAGTCTATGGACTACTGTTAGGGTACTTTGGTGTGACATCTGATTAACTATTCACTATCATAAGGAACAGCATGAACTTCCAAATATGTTCTTTTGTGGCCTACAAAGAAAGAAATTCATACAGGTAGAATTTCTAATTAATAGAATTTCATTTTTGGGTAAACTATCGCTTTAAGTTGATCTCCATTCAAGATCCCTTTGGGGCAATAGGAATTGTGGGTAAGTTGCTGGTAAGATCTGACAGGACTTCCCCTCTCATGTCTCAAGAGCTAAGGTCAAAGGTTTAGTAGCAGAATCCAGTGAAGGAAGCTTTATGATGTCTTAATTGCCCTTTTGTTTCACGCTGTGACCTGCCAAGACCCTATTACAGCCCCAACGCGGGGTCAGATTCACAGACCTGATCGCCCCACAGTTCTGCAGATAAGCACATGGTCTTAATGAGAGGGATGAAACAGCAATCATATCCTGCTTAATCAGGTCTGTAATTATGATGGCCATCTCCTTATGGTGGAGTTCCCACAGGAAATGGAAGCCACATGAAACAAGGAGCCATACTGAAGCGAACAAGATCCATCTGCTTTTGAGTGGCCATTATGAGCTCTGGGAAATGTGAGGCATTTCTGCTGCCTCAGTTGCCTCACTATGGTTATTGAACATGCTTGAAAGCACTAGCATAACTGGTGGAAACAAGGCAGGGCATTCAATCACATCACTTCACAGATCAGTTAGGCTGCTTTAGTAGTACAGCAGCTGGTGAAGAATCTGTTGGCCTATAAAAGCTGTTCTTGTTAATTATTTTCGTATATACTGTAAATTGTATATATATTTTAAATGATATTTTGTTTTTCAAGTTCATAGTGGCAACAAATTATTTATGAAGTTTATATATTATTTATATATTTATGATTTTTTTTTTAAATAAATGTAATATAATTAATTACATATTTTATTTATTTAATTAATTATTCCTGGATGATTTTCGTTTAATATTAAGTTGTAATGTTTTTGATAAAAACTCAAGATAACTTCATGTGACAAAAAGATAACTGCCTTTCCTGACAAAAAAGATAAAATACCTTAAAATCTTAAGGTTTTTGTTTGTTTGTTTGTTTGTTTGTTTGTTTGTTTGTTTGTTTGTTTGTTTGTTTGTTTGTTTGTTTGTTTGTTTGTTTGTTTGTTTGTTTTTTAAATATAAGTAATGCCTCTAAATATCAAACTTAATATTAAACAATTCATCAAGTAAGGAAGAAATAAATAAGTAGGCAATAAATTACATTTTAAAATAAATATATAAAATAATATAAGATTTATAAAATAAATAATATAATTTGATATTGATATAAATACTATACAGATATAAATTGATATAAATACAATTAAACATGAATTATTAAAATAAGTACGCAATTCAATTACACAAAAAATGAAATGACATGTTAAAATAAACAAATATATACATTAAATATTAAATATATAAATAATATTTTGCATTAACTGATATAACATTAAATAAAATAAAAATAACCAATACATAATATACAAATACAATTTGATAAAAAAAAAGGATGAATAAAAAAACAAAACAAAAAATAATAAAATAAAATAAAATAAAGTTAGTTCTCATCTGACTTAATTCAGGGGAAGAATAGGTCAGTGGTCAGTTTTCACTGATCTGAAATCAAGCTGTGGGGTCAGCTGCTGGACACTGCCAGACAAAACTAACAGGAGCTAATTGCTCCCCTGTGGTTTTTTAAAGCAATTAACTACTCTATTCCAACAAGGAAAGTCGAGTAGACCATTTTACGACAAGAATGTTTGTTGTGTTTTAAACAGGCCAATTTGAGCAATCAAATCATGCAGAAGTCACTCAAGCACAGACACTTTCATTGCACTTTCCCTTTTCTGGCCTAAGCCACCTTGATTTGACTGGTTTTAACCGGGATACCATGATATGAAAGTATGGACTGTGTACATACCAAAAACTTATCAGGGTCTGCTCCACTGGCATGACCAACAAACACTCCCGCCCCGGCATCCAGGTCCATATCATCTGGAGACCGCTCAAAACTGATGACCTGAGGATCTGAGTCACAGTTGAAGTAGAGGGAAACACGCTCATTCAAAACACTGATGGAAAACCGGGTCCAGGTGTTCACCATGGAGGGCACAGAGAATCTGGCCGCCTCGTATGAGCTCTGTGAGTCAGGCTCAGTGTAGTAGAAGATGATATACTGCTTGCCCTTCTCCACCGCTGACAGCTTCACACCAACATACATGATGTTCTGAGTTGGGTCAGTGATGGAGAAGATGACTCCAGGCTTGGAGGACGTGGGTTTTATGTTGAAGATGAGCGAGAAGTCATGGAAGAAAGGGTTGGGCAGGTGAGCCGCAGCTGACTGACCCACATTGGACCTTTGGTCGAACACATAGCCAGGGTTGTTAGCATCGTCAAATACTTTGGAGACGCCATCAGGTGGAGGATCACCAATTAACTGCAACAACGACACTCCACTTTCTTCTGTGGAAGGAAAGGAAAAGAATATAAATGGACTTCACAAAGAACAATGGAAAAGTGAATGGTCAGGGATGGGCAGCAGGCTGGGACTAGGTTAAAAAGCACTTTATTAGTCTGCTCAAACATGTATTGTAGAGGAAGTGCTCAACATTAACAGCTGTGATGGGAAATCAAGGGGTGCGTCTTGACTTTAGTAGTTGTGAGAATTTATTATGTTTGGCTGTACACAGCATCTTGAGTGAGCTCAAAGTAATTTCATCCTTTTTTCAGGAGGAAAATGTGTGAATAAAAAAAAACAGATGACCCTCTAAAGAATAATCAATTTCATGTAACTCATGTTTGGGACTTTTTGATATCCTGAAACAATATACAACACTTTTGATTTAGCAAGAATGTACATTTATCAGCCAATAAAATTTCTCAGGTTTAATAGAAAGTGACCCCTTGGATTTATTGCTCCCAGAGGACATTCTTAAGGATGAAGTTTACTATGTATGTAATGCACTTCTTTTCAAAAAATATAAATATGTTTTATACTATGTGAACAACCTAAAACATTTTTTATAAGACTTGTGAGACAGCAAGTTTAAAAAAAAGTACTTATGCTTGAGTCGAGGGGATATAAAACTTGTTATGGCCTGAGACGGGAATTTCCTGCCAACTATTACAAATTTAGGCTCCAAAATAAAAGCCATGTAATCAGAATTTGATACAAAGTATTGAAGAAATTACATTTTTGAGAAAACTAATGTCAATAAAATAAAATAAAAAACGAATTTCGATAAAATAAAGTCTTCTCAAAAACAAAACAAAACATTACTGGATACTACTTTATAGTGTATTTATAAATCAAACTCAGACTGCTGGGTGAGATCATGAGACTTTAAGAACTATGGAAGGAAACCTTCAATCTCATGCTAATATCACTCAGCACAGACATATTTAGCCAGTTGTGAAGATAAGCTAGACATGGAAACATCACAGGGTCCATGTGTTGACATGTCATGAGGAGGAGGGAAAGGTGTGAGGTTACAGCTGGACAGCTAAAGACCCTTCCTGCCTACATACACACACACATCCTTTGGGCGATTCTGCTTTTTAAATATAGAAAAGTAAAAACAGGGTTTCTTGCCAAAACATCCCTCCTTTTTCTATCACATGAAAGATGATTTTGTTTTGTTAGACAAAATGAAATAGCATGAAGTGAAAGCCCAAGCAAAAAAACATGAAACACTAAATTACATAAGTTCTCATTATACTGATGTATAAATGTGTGTTTTGTAAACGTTGATAGAAACATTAAGGATTATGTCAACTTTGAGCTGCTTTCATGCTGTAAAGTAAGTCTTTTGAACCATGACGACTTTGTAAACGGTCTGAAAAAAAGACTACCAAGTACAGCTCATGAGCACATGGTCTTATTTATCAAACAAGCATCAAAGTCCTTTAGGGGCTTACATACTCATTATTAAGTTCTTCAGATGGTGCTTTTGTTATGAGTTGAAACAAAACTCTTCTTGTCTTTGTTGTACATGAAAGGATTAGAAAGAAAATACACCTTACATATGGTTTTGGTGTGACGTGCATTTTTAGTGGATAATGTTTAGCTTGTGAACCTAATGTTTGGACTGATTTAACTAGACAGAGGAGAACCACTCTTCCGAGTTTCACTATTCAAAGCGTAAACCATGTCTTTAGATCATGACAAGATAATGACAAGCTTAAAAGAGGAGGAGCTTTTGGAGCTCACCTTGCATTCCTGCACATGTTCAGGTGCTGTTGTGTAAACAGTGGACATGCTAAACCAGCGTTCAATGACTAATGGCCACTTCAATGCGAGACTGAAGTTTTCTGAGACATGTCGGGCTTGTGAAAATCACTTTAGGGAAACCAAAATCCCGGACTTTTGCTTTTCTGACAGCAGGCAATAAATTCTAATTCCCGAATCCAGATGTGTGTCGGGATAGAATGAGACCTACAGAAGCCCCTGAGGCCATGTGTGTCTGCTCTTGTACATGAATACAACAAACCAGACATTTGACACTAATGACTATCAATCATAAAGACTTTAAAAATTGATATATATATATATATATATATATATAACACAAATAATATATTTAAAATAAAATATATAAATGTAACAAAAATATGAAAATTGAAAAAATTTAAGAGGAGACAAACAATACAATGCAACTATAAATGGATAATTTGATGTTATTTACTGAAAGTAAATATTTTGGCTAAAACAGTTACTCTGTCAGTTCTAGTTGATTTCATCTTGTACAAGAAAAAAAAAACTACTTTTACATGTCTGCTGAGGTATATTAACTTCTTTCCATGACACACTGCTGATGACCTGTAACATTCACATGTTCCTCAAACAAGCCAACCTTGACATCAGTATGCGTCAATGTTTTACTAGTTCATTGTGATCTGGTGAAGAAGAAAAAAAGGGCCACCTAGTTAGAGTTAAAAATTAGCAATTTAATTAAAGCTAAATAGGCTGGTTAAACCAAACATGAAAACTATTGCAGGTGCTATAGGCTAGTGGCCCTTATTACTGAAAACGCAAATATAATGTTAAACTTCAGGCCCCTTACACATTTTAAGTCACACATCAAAATATGACTTTAGGGGATCATGAGAAATGCTTAGGTCCTGATTATAGCTGGCAAGAGGCAGAGTCTACACGCTGACAACAGAGTATACGGGGCATATCTAAATGACAATGGGGCCTATAAAACTGAAAATGTGAAAACTGCAACATTTTCACATCACATCAATAAAACATGAATCAAACTGAACTTCAATTGAAGAAAGTAAGTTTTAACACTGTTTTAAGATCATGAATACAAAAAAACTCATACATTTTCAGATTTCTTGTTATGAGTTTTAGCTTAAAGTTAGATTAGTTTACACAAGTTTGTCACTTTAATCTGTGGCTGCCGCAGAATGTAATTTCTAATCAAGCTTAAATAAGATGTGAGCTGTAATCAGTTTATCCTAAAGCTTTAAGAGCCACTTACTGGGTGTCCCTTCTTAATCCTGACAGAAAAGGCAAAATCATCAATGTCATTCACCAATCTTGCACTTTGAAGCTTGAATATGGAGCATGATCATTTGTGTGAGTAAAGAACGGGTGTACATTTCAAGTCAAATGTCACAGATGACCTAATTATACCAAACAGGGCTGTGTACAAATTTGTCGATTTGTACCTTTTATTGCACACTAGAGAGCATTAAAGACTGGACCGTAATACATTTCCGTGCAATTGGAAACCTGCAAAGGAACACTTCCATTTCTTTAGCCAATACAATTGAAGACAGAAATACTGTATGATCCAATTTGACATCAACACTGCCAATTTACCCCAGCAAACCCGTTTAACCTTGGAGGCGCCATAAAGGCACAAAGAACATCTCTGCTAAGATTCTCAACACAACACTTCCACATTTTAACTTTTTTTCTGACAGTCAAGTCATCGTGGCAATTGCCCTCTCAGTTGATCCATTACAGAATGAATTGAGCACACTGTCTATTGGCACTCAAGAGACTCCATTGTTGTGGAAAAGGTCCATGAAAGGCCTCTGACCCAATGAGAAACCTAGCACAATCACTTCCATTTTCCCAATGAAGCCATTTTTTCCCAAATCTAATAGTTCTATCTACAAGCTTCACTGGAGCCCAGACACCACATAACCCCATTATGATCTGTGACACTATTTGAGAAGCTTTCATTTGAGATCCTCCCAGTCATGGGAGGATATGAGACGAGACCGTACAGAAGATGAAATGCATGAGCAGCAGTGAGAGGGAGTAACATTACTTACAGAACAATTTTTAGCACTGTTACAGCAGCTTTAAAAAATAATGTTACAGTGGTCAAAGCTACACTGCAGCTCAAAACATTGGGGTCAGTAGGATGTTTTTTTGTTGTTGTTTTGTTTGTTTGAAAGAAATTATTACTTTTACTCAGCAAGGATCCATTAAATTTAACAAAAGTGACAGTGCGTGCATTTAGTATGTTACAAAAGATTTCTGTTTCAAATAAATGCTGTTGTATCTTTTAAACTTTCTATTCATTAAAGAATACTGAATAAAATGTATCATGGTTTCCACAAAAATATGAACGATACTAATAAGAAATGTTTACTGAGCACCAAATCAGCATATTAGAACGATTTCCAAATGATTGTGTGACTGAAGACTAGAGTAATGCCTGCTTAAAATCTAGCTTTGTTATCACAGAAATAAACTGCAATTTAAACTATATTAAAATAGAAAACTATCCGGCCCCAAACTTTAGAACAATAATGTAAATCAAAGCAATACATCTCTGTTCCTTAAAAGTCCAATTCTTTTTTTTGTGTGTGAATCAATTGATGTCTCAAAAAACACTTCACTTCAAATCACTCGGTCACAAACCTTACAAGGTAATATTCTGCAAATTTATATTTCAGTTTAATACAGTCATCCTAAATAATTTAGACTGTTTTGTGCCAGACAAATACAAATACATCATCTTCAAAGATGCTGCTACCTAAGGAGCTTTTTTGCAGTTAACTACTCTTTTAAAAGTAAGGTTTCAAAGGCTTTCCCAGCAGAGGGGAATTCTGATGAGGAATGCAAATACCTTAAAATAACAGACTAATTAACAAGAAAACCAATCAACTGTAGTTAAAGGAAGACTAGACAATCTGTTACATATTAGCTTGTCCTTTACACATGGCCCCAGAGCCTCACAAACACTAACAATGGCTAGACGCTGTCCCACTTAACAATCTATTGCCCCAGACAATTTCACTTTCCAACACAAGCCACACACCTGGAATTCACTTTTTAGCCTGCGATGAAACAAACGTCAAATCCCTCACATGTAGCTAACATGAGAACTGTATAATTAGCATAACTCAAACCATGAAGAAACATGTGCAATCTGCACGACCATAGGGACGCTTTACAGGAAGCTTTACAGCCGCTGAGAAAGCCTTACTTTCTGACATGCTGCTTGCATTATAAAAAACATTAATATTGTGGTTTGATCTTATCTGCCCTAAATCAGTCCTGAATGACTCTAAACACTGCCAGATCTAATTTAATTTAGATGTTTCCATTATTTAAGATTACTCTAAATAATTAAACATCCTGTACACGCAAAGACATCTCCAAATCTACAGCAGAATCTAACATACAAGAAAGCCCGGGGTTAGTTGGTTTATATATATATCCAGTAAATATTTCTTAAGGTAGGATTTTTAAGGTAGTTTCTATATATAGCCATATACATAGTCTTGGATATCTCTACCATTTATTCACAGGAAAACAATACATATCATTGAAAACTTGATGTTGCCCCTATAGTCACAATGCATGGGGAAAGCTGTTACAATAGCATATATATATAGTTCAGTCATTAAACTCTAGATGGCACAGGCTACGGGTTGTTAACGTAACCGATGATATTCAGAGAGTTAAACAACTTGGCACAAGCTGATTGGTTCATGCTGCATATGCAGCCAATGAGCTTACTGCCTTGCATTTATATGGCTGGCTAGCATTCACTTGAGATTCCTGCAGCGCGCTTTCAGAGTTCTCTGAAACCCTCCTCCTTCCCTAGCTCCACCTGTATAGATCTGCTACGGGGTTATTTTATATGTTATTTGTGCAGCAGCAGTATGTCTTAAATACTCACGGCACCGTATCGCCGTATGAATTGGCAGTAGCAAGTTCCTGTACTTGCTTGCAGCAGCAGCAATGATCTACAACTACAGCAATAACCAACAGCAGCAGCAATTCAGCAGCAGCGTAGCAGATCTGTTCCGCCAAGACCAAATACATGAACATGGTCATATCCATCACCATGCTGAAATGTTCCGAGAGTTGTCATGATTGAAATACATATTTATAGGCTTTGTACCAAAATATCATTATTTGCATATTTGTGCCCCTTCAGATTGACTTAGATGGTCTCCTCAAACATGATGTCCACTCAAAGTTGTCAATATATCAAGCTGTCTGAAAGATAATGCCTTTTTTAGACACACTTTTAAGATAAAGAGCACTTGGCCCCAGCAAACACAGGAAATTCAAGCAAGAAAAAAGTTTTTTTTAATCATATAAAACCATTCGCAGTAGCTATTCATCAAGACTCTGTTTGCTCATTGTGTATTTATATATGTTCATTTGCTTCACATGACAGTTTATTCTGTAACCGTGTTTCTAGATGTTTATCACAAAACCACACAAATACCAACGGTATGCTCTCAGGATTTACTTGGCAGAGGATTGCAATCATAAATTCAGCCTGAACATATGGACTAACAATTCTGTTTAAAGTCACTCCTGCCAAAAATGTTAACCTGAAAGCTGCATTTACTGCGTCTCAGCACAAAGACATACTTATTAGAAGACAGATGGTACTATCCTCCAGCCACTGAGACGATGAACATTTATCTGTCCTCCACAGTGAAGAATAAACTCTGGAATGAGGGGGAAAAGTCATATGAACGGCATTCGCTGTCAAAAACAACTCGAGATCAAAGTGTTTGCCTCCCAACCCTATATTCAATAAAAAGAGCTCATGTTTCAATACGAAAAAAACACTTAGTTCCAGGCAAAGTACAGAAGACTCTGGAGCATCTTTATTTAATAAAACCAAATTAACCAAGACAGCTCATGGCATTTTGAACATACCTACTAACGACATCAGAACTGATTCTGTTTAACTTGCATTGCTATTTATTAATAAATCAGAGAGAAAGGAACCTTCCCCTGCCTTAAAATACATGCTTGCATGGAAGAATGTAATACATTCAGCTTACAGGTTAACAATTTGACCAACTGCATACTCTGATAAGAAACAGCATGCATTAGAGAAGATCAATGTGCAGAGGTGTTTCTCTGCGTTTACTTGTACTTGACAAATACCAGTTCTAAGATACCACATAGGTTAAGAAAGAATGTGGGGTATTTTTATGGTGAATTTTTTGACAATCTTTTACAAATTTATTCTCCTATGTTCACCAGGTCTAACCACATTTATGAAAAAAAATATTATCTGTGCAAGTACAATACAATCACAACTCAGGGAGGAGTCCCAGTTTAAATCATACCTCTCGCCCATTCCTCCAACTGCTAAACAAAGTTAAGCTACTTTGTACCATCCATATTTACATAATTAAATTAAATGTACTCAACAGATTAGGTTATGCTATTATAGATGCTGCACATATTCAGGGATTCACACATTGGTTAAGAGTCATGATTCCCACATCTTCTGACCAATGAATTTACAGGACAATTCCAGCCATTCTTGATTACTTGATAATTTTAGGCAATAAAAAAGCTGGGTAACTAAAAGAAAGAAAAATAAATTAATAAATATAAAATATTTTATATTTAATAAAATTAGCTTATATTTAACATATGTTTTAAAATAAATGATAAAATAATTAATTATAATCATTTTAAATTATAAATATTAAAAAATCCATCTAGGCCTGAAAACTGAAAACCACAACAATCCAAGACCGTGGGAATTGAGAGTCGCATGTGCTTTGAAATACAAAGACATAAACATGCAAAGACTTGATTTAGTATTGCCATGCAGTCATCCTTCACATTTCCATGCAGTTTTGACAAGCATGCAGAGTGAATGCGTTAAAAAACATCTCCCCAGAGAATCTGTGTGCTTACAACTGTTGAAGACCACACAACACTTACGGACAAACAAAACCCCTTGTGAGGACTGGTGAATGACAAACAGACAGACAGGTGGTACTGGTTGAAAATGCATCTCTCTCCTTTTTTAAGAGCAAAAGAGATGGCATTCTAACCGGCCGTTACCTTTCTGGTTACTAACTGACAAGCACCGATACCCATCATGCTTCTCTTCGGGCAGAGAGTGGCACTCCACGGGGAGGCGGCCCTCATCCAGGAGTGTCCAGCAACTGTCACGCAGGACCTCGCAGAAACTGCGACAGGGCAGTGAAGGCGGCAGTCCAGGTGGGCCACACCGAGGTGTCAACAGCAGGCAGAAAAACCATTCCAAGCTATAATGGCAGTTTGACCGCAACAGCCATGCCCATTTGGTCAAAACCACCTGAACTTCCTCCACGCTGCTTTGATTTAGAAAATTTGGTACTGTGAAACTCTCCACTCCCATTCTGGTGCAAAATGGCAAATGAGAATCGACTGGCAAGCAGCGCGGGGATTCAATGGCCGTTGGAATGCTAGCTACTAAAAACTCGCTTTCAATGGTTAGTAGACTATCTGAGACAGAGTATTCAGAGGAATACAATGTTGTGTTATCATAATCATCATGCTCTGTAGAATTACGCCTATTTGAATCATTATAAGTGCTAACATTTTTATGAGAAACATTGATTCTTTCATTAAATTGACTGTCTGTTGGATGGCTGATGCGCTGAAGTCCATCCATCTGCTCCTCTTTGGTCTCAAGTTTAAAATTTCCCACATGCAATCTAGCATCTTCACCAGCAATACCCAAAAAGTTGGTTGACGTAACATAGCCATCCTGTCTTTCATATCCAGATCCAGATCCGGAAGCAAATTCAGACCATGACCCACTTATAGATTCTGACTCAACCCCCAACCCAGACCTGAACTCTGATTTCCTCTCAAAATGACCTCCATCAGAACTGACCTCTTTCAGGACCTCAGTTACAGAAGCACTTGTACCTGTTGTTCTGGGCGGTTCTGTCCTTGGGGGTGATGTGGGCCTTACAGTTGTCAGGTAAGCCGGTGTCTGTGCGCCCTTTGCATTTTCTTTCGAGTCATCGAACCAGAACCAGCCATGCGTGTGGTGTATCCTCAAGCACACCACAATAAAGAGGCACAGCCAAAACCTGAGCTTAGACATCATGTTCACTTCCAGTCATTCAGCAATTCAAACAGGATCCTGACATGCCCTCAATAGTAATCCACACCACACACACACAGACTCGTCCCTGGCTCACCGTAAAGTCACCACAATCAGCCCACAAGCCAGGCAGGAAAAGTTTAGAGGAGGAGTAACATATTTAAAAGAGAGCAGGGGGTTGGTTCGTCATTGGCCGAGTTTGGGACCTTTTCCTCCCCCATAGCTCCATCTCCCCTTTGTCCTTGTGAAAGAGTGTCTCTGATGATAGATATTCTTACCAAAAATGCCTGCAAGGCGTCCTTTTGTAGACCTCGGTGCTTCTAAATGCCCTCACTGATGGAATTTAGAGTTGTTTCAACTTACTTTTACAGCCTTTAAAGGGGCAGAGAAATTCCACAGACCCCGTTACACAGAAACAAGCTGCTTAAATACTCAAAATACCTCTTAAATGTAGAAATGTATGCTTTTAATGGGTTTGTCATTTGCCGAACCTCTGATGTTAATTCTAGTTGAAAAAAAATAATACTAAAGTTGCATTTTCTGAAGGAAATACCATTGCTTGCCAGGCATGAAAAAAAATCATATTTAGGTAGTTTATGAAATTCTGCATCAGAGACATTTCTCCAGTATTACAGTAACAGTAACAACCAAAAGCACACACACATCCATTTAAAAGGTTTATATATATTAATAATCAGAAAGTCTGAGGAAAGTCAGTCTGTTGTGCAATCACTGTATTTTTTTTTTTTTTTTAGAGTTAATAGATCCTACAAAACCCAAACTATGCTACCTAGTTAGAACAACTTCCTTAGGATCCTTCTGATGATACGGTAAAAAATGTATTCCCTGTTTATGGGACAGAGGCATCATGAATCACTTCATAACTACATCAGTGAAGTTCAAACAGTAGCCAACTCCACTCTCCAGCTTTGAGCTGGACCAAGCTGTCTAAAAACTCGCTCACCTCCAGTATATGGGCTGAAACCAACCCCTATTCAGTCAATATAAATCTTGCTCTCTGGCTAACTTGCAATTAGTTTTGCCCGAGCCCACCCCTTCCTCTGCACTTTAAGCAGGACACAGTTACAGAGTTATCTAGAGCTTGTGCACTTGTTCAGACAAGCCTATGTGAGCTGGTGACAGAGACTCTCTACATGCTAACTGACACTCTATGAGGACTGTCAAACTATGAAGATTTCTTCTGAAGAAACTTTCAAAATATGCTCACATGCATCAATGGACGTTGTGCCTTCCTCAGTACACTGTAAAAAGTTTTACAAGAAAATACTATTTAAATATTTCTACTTCAATTTCATGTTCCTTGCAGTTTATTTACAATGATTTGTGAAATGTACTAGCAATTTCTTAGTAAAAATGGTTTCTATACCATTTTTTCCATTGTATATAAGGTATATGAATATGCCATTGTAGATTAACATAATGCAGTATCCTAAAAGGACTCCAAATCAGCGAAAATTAATTACATACAGTCACTAAATCATGCAGAAATCTGAACACAGTTCACAGTTCACATAATTGCAGGAAACACAACAAAAGTAGTTTTCATTTGCTGCATCCTGTATGTGATGATAAGTCATTTATACCTTTGATATGTTTAAATGAATAAATGAAATCATGTTGTTGTTTTTTTTTAAAGCACACTGTCAGCTAAAATTACATTATATACCACTTTAGTCAGAAAAAAATGGACTACAATTTGATGTCAGGAAGAAATATTGACAACATAAAAAAAAAAGACAATTAGCACAAAAATAAAAACAAAAGATATAAAAACAACAACAAAATAAGTATGTAAAAATGCAACTAAACACTGGTCATGTCTTTATCTGAATTTTAATTAAAAGAATCTGACTTTTATAAAATGCATTAAAACTTTTTTTTCCCCATACCTACTTTTAGTAGTGTGAAGTACTTTAATACAGGGGTTTGTCTAGACCCCAAGTTGGTCTAATTTCACTCGCTCCCCTCCAACATCCAACAACCCATTAACTATTAACTTACACTGTTAATAGGCGTGACCAGGGTTGCCGGGTTTTCACAACAAAACCCGCCTAATTTCTACTCAAAACTAGCCCAAAACTACAAAACGCGGCAAGTGTTAAAGTAGCCTAATTCCGCGGGAAAACCGCGGACTTGGCAACGCTGAGCGTGACTGATACTCGAGCCAACTCTGCTCTAACTGTCGACTAGCAGTGGGAGTCAGATTGCCCCCTAGTGGATGGCTAAAGATTTGTTAACTCATATTCATAAATTCTCAAGGGAACGTCTCTGAATTAACTGATGCTCACGCCCCCCCTTGACAGGTGCTGGCACCCCCCTGGGTTGAAAACCCCTGCTTTAATATAAGCCAAAAGATACAATGAAGCCTTGTGTGAAGTTGTGGACAGAACAGACAGAGCACTGAATTTAAGATGATTCAATGACACAATTATTCTTTAGGGTTTTGATTTAAACTGGATAAAAGCTGAAGCAGGGGATTTGGTTCAAAGAAGATTCTAGAGCTCTCTTATTAAACAGTGAAAGGACAAAATGAGCAATGCATATATTGCAGAAACCTACAACGTCTGCCAAAGCCCTTGAGGCACAATGAAGAAGTCAACCCCTCACAACAATTCATCAGGAGGCACAGCCAAAATCACTGGGGCTGCCCACAGTTAGTGTGGGAATGATATTAACAAATGCTGAGCAGCAGTAGTGTGGACAGTCCTCGAACCCCAGCCAAGAACACAGTGAATCTACTAGCATGGACTCAACACAGCATTTAGACTTCAAGTGGACACTGCTGGAAGAGTTCTGGAAGTGGCTCTGTGCCAAAACCGAATGAGCTGCCTTGTTGTCTACTGTAGACAACTACCTTCTAAAGGTTACATTAGTCAAATTTTGGTGAACTTTTGTGGGCAATTATCCATTGTCAATAGTGTGGCAATGTGTGTAGCACAGCCTACACAAAGTCCATTTCAAACCACGCAGATTTCTGTTGGACAGTATGGCAAATTCACGTAACCAATCTTTCGTCCTCACACAAAAAATCCTGATTGCACTCAATCCCGATTCCCATTGAAATGACTGGATGTTGTTCACAAAAAGTAGCAGAATAATGGTAAATGTGACTGCAAATGGAACCTCACTCTGTTTGAGTATATACTACATTGGTAAAAAATGTACTTTGCGAGAGTTAAAAAGTACATTCTATAGCCTATAGTATGAATAAATTCTGGACATACTACACCCAGCTTGCTGGCTTTGTCATGTGACCTATAGTACAACACCAGTTGTGTCCCTTCATTGTAATGGCCTCATGGGATAGTAAAGTTTCCATAAGATTCGCACTTCAGTAGCTCGCAGGAAGTACTAGATACTTTTTGCCAACTGTTTTGTAAACAGTTTGCCTACCTTTCACCTACAAACTAGGTTTTAGCGCAGACCCATGTTTTAACAAAATTGGCAAAGGTTATTTTTAAACATATTAAGTAACAAAAATGTTTCATTAGAACCGTTTAGCCAATTAAAAAAAAAATGAAAAACTACCTACATGCAGGAAATTAATACAGTAAGCATGATTGGACTCCAATACTCAATGTAGGTTTAATGGGAGTATGACTTTCTTTATTTTTTTTTGTCTCTTTGCACAGGAAGTAAAGGTTAACGAACTGCAAACACAGCTTTTCCTTTACCCACAAGGACACTGAAACACGAGCAGCTATGAGAACATGACATCGACACATGCTTCTTATTACCTCGAGTCAAAACATCACATATATCACCAAAACAGCTAACAATTCAATAACTGGCCGAGGTCCTGCTGTTAGCTTTTACATAAGGGTTAATGCTAAACCTCATCATTCAGGGCCTACATGGGTGGGAATCTTAGTTTGCAATTCTCCACAGTGACTCCCTCGCAGTTGTGACCTTTCTCAGCGCATGTTCAGGGCCAACGTGTTCTCTGCCATCAGCCAAAAATATTTTTTTTGGTGGATGAAAGCTGCACTCATCTGGGTGTGATTTAACATGAATTGTAAAAGATACGACAGCTTTTACTCTTTGCTGGTGCCTGTGCTGTTTTTCTTCTGGGGAGTCCCTGGTTTTTAATGACTGAGATATTCTTGGGTGCCAAGGGACTGTAATGATTTGGAAAGTTTGCCATCTGAGCTTTGTTTTGGGCAAAACTGGTATTAATCATACACCAATACCACACATGTGAGTCTGAGAAGTTTGAGGTGCACGAGATATGCGAGATACGCGGCCAGAAAGGATGGGTGGCCAAAAACAACACCCACACCGGTATGCTTTCAGTCACACTCCTCTGCAAACTCCTATGAGGAAACTGAGCTTTCCTGACATTTCCTGTCTCTCACCGATGAGAAATGTATCCTGGACATGAAATATCTATGTTTTCATTAATCCCTCATTATTTGGATGGTTTTCATCAAAACGATATGGTCTCATAAGTGTGTAAATTACCAAATTAAAGCAATAGTTGAAATAGATTAAAATTTTATATTGTACACTACCATTCAGAAATTTGGGGGTCAGTATTTTTTTTAAGAAATTAATACTTTTATTCAGCAAGGTCACATTAAAATGAACTAAAAAAAAGTAACAATAAAGGTATTTATAATGTTACAAAGACTTCTATTTCAAATAAATGCTGTTCTTTTGAACTTATTTATCAAAGAATTAAAAATTATATTTTTTTTTAAATACATCACGGTTTCTATAAAAATATTAATCAGCACAACTATATTCAACATTGAAAATAACAAGAAATGTTTTTTGATCACCAAATCAGTGTATTAGAATGATGAAGGATCATGAAGACTGGAATAATGACTGCTGAAAATTCATCTCTGCCATTAAGGAATACATTACATACATTCAAATATATTCAGATAGAAAACTGTTATTTTAAATTGTAATATTTCCCATTATTACTTTTTTACTGTATTTTTATCCAAAAAATGCTGCCTTGGTGACCATCTTTTTTCTATATACATTTTCTGTA